CCCAGGGTTACAGGTTCCCACAGACAGTCTCTGGAGAGAAAGACAGGCAATGCCCAGTTGTACCCTTAACTCATTTGTCCTTAAAATTTATTTGGAGACTCAAGTGAAACCTAAATAAAGCAAGTGCTGAGAAAGATAACAGAAGAAAATGGTGTGTTAGTTTTTGGATAAACGTTTTAAGCAGAGTACACTTAAAGAATGGTAAGGTCTTTCCTCCTTTAGTGATGTCTGAACACCCGGCTTCTAACAAGTCCTCTGCACTAAACAACAAAATTGCCCACTTTAAACTCCACCTCCTGCCCCATCCACAATTTTTCTTTCTTACTTAGGCATTGCCTTATGGAGCCCCAAAGTTAAAGAGTAAATGAATACCTAACTGGGACACGATACACAAAAAATGGAGAAGACCTACTACGCTAGCATTCTAAGGGCAGAAGGGCAGAGGGAGGACCCACTAAACCTGGAGATATATCACTGCCAGGGAGACCAGGCTACTAAGTAGATGCCAAGAGATCAGATAAGGAGACAGAAACAGTATCTTGCATCCATGCCACTTTTCAGGAACAATAAGTATAAAATCCTATCATTTTATTGCACTTGAGCATTCTCACCTAAATAGGGTCTGCCAGCCTAAGCACAAATGAAGGATTACATGGCCACTGGCAAACTTAAATAGCTAAAGAGCCCTTCATAATTATCATTGTCACTCACTAGCACGCAGATACTATCACTCTATAAAACAGAGCCTAACACACAGAAACAGTACAGCACAAAAAAGCTAGTGCAAAATAATGTGATAAAAAATAACTGAGATACATTCAAATGAAGAGAACAAGGTTGCAAAAGGGCTTTGCCACAAACTAGTTATATAAGCTATGGCAGAGGCAGTGAAATATAACTGGTCCAAGAAATCAAGTGTGTCAGACACTGAACTTAGGGGTTTATAGACACTGAAAGCACCTTACCGTCAGTCTGAAGAGCAAAGTTCTAGGATCCAATCTGCCTCTACTAACCAGGGCTTATGCCAAATCAATTCACATCTCTAGAGCACAATAAAATTACCTGCATTAACTAGAGTGGTATTTCCATGGTGTGTTCCACAGAACAACAACAAAAATAGCAATATGCTTCTCAATAAAAGGGTTTCATAGCCAAGTAGGTGCAGGGTGTACCTACTATAAACCACCAACCTTAGAGATTCACAATGCACTTTAGTATAGCAAAGGCTCTGAAAAGTGCTTACCGTTATCTGTTTAATTTTACTGAATACATTTTTCCAAGTTAATGGGCCACTAAATCACCTTTTCCTCTTCTAAATATTAATACTACAAAACGCATTTTGATGTTCCTCAAAAAATTAAACAGAATTAACATACGACCCAGCAATTCTACTTCTGGGAAAATACCCAAAGGAAGTGAAAGCAGCAACAAACTTTAGTATACCCATATTCACAGCAGCATTATTCACAATAGCCAAAAGGTGGAAACAAACCAAATGTCCATCGACAGGTGAATGGATAAACAAAACATGGTTTACATACACTGATTATTCAGCCTGAAGAAGGGCTGAAATTCTGATACACGTTACAACATGCACAAACCTGGAAGACATCTGCTAAGTAAAATAAGCCACAAAAGGATAAACATTGTATGATTCCATTTATATAAGTATATAAGAACAGGCAAATTCATAAACAGAGAAAGTAAAATAGCGATTACCAGGGATTGGCCATAAGGAGAATGGGGATTTATTGTTTAATGGATACAGAGTTCCAGTTTGGAATGATGAAAAAGTTCTGGAGATGGATGGTGGTGATGGCTGCACAACAATGTGAATGTACATAATACCACTTAATTGTACACTTAAAAATGGCAAGACTTTGGTAAGCACACAAGAGAGTATAAAGATATCGTCTTATAAATTGTACACTTGAAATTTATATAATGTTATCAACCAAAATTATCTAAATAAATTTAATTTTAAAAAATGGTTAAATGGTAATTTTTATTATGTACATTCACCACAATAAAAAAAATACTCTTTGCCAAATACTGGCTTAGTTTTTTCTTAACTAATATTCTGTGGTTATAAAATCACTAAAATAGTCAATATAAATTACCTTACCTCAGCTACACAACAAATTGACCCCAAGGCTTCTCCACGAAAACCATAAGTTGTCAAATTTTCAAGATCTTCATGACTATTTATTTTTGATGTGTAGTACTTCATTGCCATTACAGGTGCATCAACGGCCTTGATACCTTCACCATTGTCTCGCACCTCAATTTTATCAAATCCATAATTCTCCTATACAAAGTTAAAACATACTTTTAATGTATAAAGACATTAAAGTGTTACATTTAGAAACATAAACACAAGTGAAATAATTTTGTCTTTTATTTATCTTTTACAAAACTCTAATCTTAAGGAAGTAAGAGTTTAATTTCCTAAGTTTACTAATTCCTAGTTATGATACATGGGCAAGTCCCTTATTTTCCCAGGACTCAGATTCAACTGTAAAATAAGATCATTCTGATCTTTAAGGTTCCCTTGAATTGTCTCAGTATCATAGGTATCTATGTTTAAATTTATGTTTAAACTTGACTAAAAACATTCTTCTAAATTATATATATCTTTATATAATCTCTCAAACAAATAAAACAGAATATTACCACCATCAAAAATAACACCAAGAGTCTAGTGATTATCATTATTCAACTTAATTTTTAATACTTTCTTGAACGACTTATTGCTTTCATAAGAAATTAAAATACTTACTACATTGTAACTTTCTAAATTTCCTTCTGTATAGTCACCTAACAAGAAATTGCTGAGCAAATATACCTAATTTGGCGATCTTGGTGAGTTTTTAATTTGAAAACCAAGAAAAAAAATACCCCTCAATTCATAGCTTAGTATTTGCACTCTAATACTAAAAATACGCATACATAACAAAAAAAAAAATCTAAATTCCTATAGTGATCACACTTTCTATGAATACCGTATTTTAAATCTGGTAGAAAATTTCTATCATAAGCTTGACTTCACAGTTTTATGTGTATGGCCATAGATGCAAGTTTCAAAGGAGAAAAAAGTCTTCCTATAATTACAATGACTCTGATATTTAAAATAATACCACATCTTTTTAATAACCTAAAATTATTTCGTACTGTTTACATCAGTACTTTTTAAATAAAATAGATATACAAGGTCTTGGGGAGAGACACCCAAGATTTCATTCCTCATCTTTCACTCAACCTAAAACTAAGTTATTCTGGAAACAGGTGGTCTGCTTTTTATAGAAAAATCATAAACTACAGAAATCCAAATCTTTCAATATAAATTAGAACTCCAGGAACCTGAGAAAAATAACACAAAGACTTGTTTAAAATGTGTAAATATCAACATGTTTATTTTAATTAACTAATTATGAAAACATTTCTAGCCAGGATAGTTATTATCATATGAAACCATAATAAAACAGGCTTTATTACGTAGAGCAATATAGTTATTTTAAAACTCTGCAAGCAGAGAAAGAGAAACTCATAAATGTCAAGGGACTAAATTACATAGCCAGATATAAAAATGTGTACTTTCATTTACTTTTTTAAGAGGACTTCTGCTGTTGGCCTTGTAAAACTATGTTTTTCTTCCAGAGAACTTTAAGAACAAGATATATGTCTGCCTAAGATTCTTTAATGAAATACATCAGATATAATTATCTAATTCTATTTAATTACTATCAATTGTATGCTAATCAGACTAAACTGAATATATAAAATGTCTAAGAAACATAAGTTGTTTTTCTTCGAGTTTAATAATATTTTTTTCATGCTTAAAAAGCTTATATTTAAAAACAAAATACAGGTTAATATGGTATAGAATTGCAGTTCTCAGCATCAACTAGAATTTGTTAGAAATGCAAATTTTTGAGCCCCACCTAGAATCTGAATTTCTGGGGCTCAAGTAACTGTTTTAACGAACTCCCTAAATTATTCTGATGCACCCAAACATTGTGAGAACCCCTGGCAAAGAGGAAAGATCCTGAATGAGTTTGAGTTAGAAAGAACTGAATTTCAATTTCAGTTCTCCTACTTATGAATTATATGACTTTGGGCAAATTCTCAGAAGCTTAATTATTTGTAATGTGGATATAGTAGTAGTTAATTTACAGTTTTAAAAGGAGTGACTGGAATTATAAACACACACACAATATATATAAACATATATATGTGAAAAAAGTGGGTCTCTTAAAGATATTCATATCACTATTATTTCTAATAATGTAATTCCAGGAATAATGTAAATATCTGACAATTAGGAAATTACAAAAAAAATGTATTATTACATTCATTCAAACAAATTTATTCACCAGTTATGTACCATTTACATATCATTTATTCACCATTTATGTAGCCGGTACTAGCCAGGTATGGTGGACAGAAAAATGAAAAAAATACAGACCTTACCTCCATGAGCTATTAATTTAAAATAGGGAAGGTAGACAGGCAAAATAACTTTAATAAATCATATTGAGTGTCATGTTGTATCAATTCAAATGATATAATATATAGAACTTAAATCCAAAAATGTGAAAACTATGAAGCAACAAAGGATACATATTGAAGATTAGGTAAAAAAATTAAATGCAAATGAGAATATGTAAGTAAGCATATAGCAATAACCAAGGATAAATATTAGTAGAAAATACAAATTAAATTCATGTTTTAGGTAATGGACTCATAAATAATAAGTTTAAGTAATTTCCTTTGATTATGAATGCCGTTTCAAACTAATCAACTAATGTTGATTTAAATTAAAATTTAGTTTTAAAAATTTACTCTTAAACAAGACAAAGGGTCCAATGTCCTATGAATAATTTACTGGTACATATAAAGAAAAGAAAGGTAATAGTTGTAAAGACAAAATATGTGTCCAGTCCTTTTTTGCTTTTAAAGGTATTTGGCTTTTCAGGGACACTCACCAGTTTAACATCTATGCTTGTGGCACCGGCATCCAAGGAGTTTTCAATGAGCTCTTTTACAACACTGACCACTGAAGTGATTATCTGGGAGCTTGAAAGGAGGCGAACTGTTGCTGCAGGCAACTGTTTCATTCTAGCTTTTAGCAGAGTAGCTAGAAGGCAAAAATAAATGGTTAAACATTCCTGAGTAACAGGACTATAGCAACACCAATAATAATAGCAGCTCACATCTATAGAGGCTCAGTTTATGCCAATCTCTATAGTATTAAATCATTTGTTTCTTAAAAATACTTTGAAATAGATGCCATTATCATCTCCATTTTATAAGACTAAGGCACACAGTAGTTTATAAATCACACTATAATTAGTAAAGAAAGATAAGCACAAATCTGCTATAATGAATGTAATATGTGATCTGCCTGGCTAAGAATGACCAGGTAGTACTGTCACTTCAGGATGTGGATGTCAGTCATGTGCCTTAATGGCAGTCTCGCTTAAATATTATTAGTCATCCATTCATTTTTATGAGTTACAATGTCTTTTTCAATTATTGAACTCTTGGAATTAGGATATCCAGACCCCAGAATTACTGTTAATCTCAATTAGTCAGATCCCAGATATATCAGGTAACTATCCCTCTACACTACTCTGCCTAAAACATCATTCTAATCATGTGGCTCCCCAAAGCCAAAATATGATAAAGCTCAAATCTTTGTGCTGGCATTCAGGGTTCACTACACGCCAATCCAATCTGTACATCCAAAATCTCTCTGCCAGTAACTGTTTCAGCAATGAAACCTTTTCAAACAAAGAACGAAAAAATAATCTCACATGGAAATCCTATATGTAAAATATGTAGGGAGTGAGCTTTGCATCTGTCTTAACACCTGTTTTCAGGAAAATAAAAAACACTAGCTTGATAACATGCAATTCCCCTACAGCAGTGGTCCTCAACCTTTTTGGCACCAGGGACTGGTGCTCCTATGAGAATGTAATGCCTGATGATCTGAAGTGGAGCTGAGGAAGTGATGTTAGCACTGGGGAGGGGCTGCAAATACAAATGAAGCTTCACTCCCTCGCTGCCACTAATCTGCTGTTTCCTAACAGGCCACTGACTGATTCCGATCCTCAGCCCAGGGGTTGGAGACTCCTGCTGTATAGAATCAAGATTTTCTTTGACAAAAAAATAGGTTGGGGGTGGGGTACATCCTAAGTACATCCTCAATTTACCACAACTAGTTACAAGATCACATGATGGTTTGATCCTATGGAATCTAGGTCCAAACAAAAATAAACAAAATAAAAAGGTGTCCTTTTAGGATTCTTTCTCAGGCAACAAAAGACTAGCAGAGTTATGTAAAGATGGAGTAAGTAACTGGGCAAGAAATGAAGTATAGCCACTATAATAACCACATAGGATTTTAAAAGATATATTTCTAGGAAGAGGTCAACATATTCAGTTCTGAGTGGTGTTAACTGGTCACAATTCATAAATACAAAATATTTTGTTTTGTACAAGGCAAAGCTGATTATTAGTAGCGTGAAAAAAATATACCAGACTAGAGTTTTAAAAAACATGTTTTGGGGTTCATCTTTATTACATGTAAACTGAAGCAAACCACTTAAATCTCTCTGTAAAATTAATTCATCAATTGTATAAATCCTCACTGATCGGTTGTGAGGATCAAATAAGCAAGCATACATAAAAAGTTCTGTAAATGATAAAGTTGTATAAAATGTACATTATTTTTATGATGACAGTTGATTATGTAAAGAAATGCTGGTGATGGCTGCCAGATGGGAGGGAGTTTGAAGGTGAGGTGAAAAAGGTGAAGGATTAAGAAGTACAAATTGGTAGTTACAAAATAGTCACAGGGATGTAAAGCATAGGGAATACAGTCAATAACATGGTAATAACTATGTATGGTGCTAAGTGGGTACTAGACTAGTCAAGGGGGAGTCACTTTACAAATTATATAAAAGTCTAACCACTATGCTATATACCTGAAACTAATATAATATTGAGTGACAACTGTTATTTAAAAATCTTAAAAAGGCGGGGAAAGGTGAAGGGGGAATAAGAGGTTCAAACTCCCAAACATAAAAAAAGTCATGGGGATGTAGTGTCCAGCATAGGGAATATAGTCAATAATATTTTGATTGCATTGTAGTGTCAGATGGTTGCTGGACTATCCAGGGTGAGCACTTCTTTAGGTATATAAATGTTGAATAACTATGCTATATACCTGTTACTAATATGATATTGCATGTTAGCTGTATTTTAATAAAAATCGTTTTTTAAAAAGTTACCAGCAAAAAATAGTAATAATCAAGGATATTGAGTTGTATCACAAATTATGGACTCTCAAAAAATGAAACTATGAATGAATAATTATGTTTGATCATACATACAAAAGTCTGAAAGCAAAATTTTAAAGGAATGCTTATAATTCAAAAAGTTGTGAGTTCAAATCAAGAGATGATGGAATATACGGTTCACTGAAAACCACCCCAAAGCCAGTTCCTTTTTGTAATAACTCAAATGTTCTTACACAAGGTCAGGTAATTTCATGTGAATAAAGTCGCTCTACAGGTGTCATCAAATTTATAAATTAAAGAAACATATTGGAAAGCTGTCAATGCATGTAATACTCAGGATCTAATTAGAGGCCTTTGAAAATGTTCAAACTAGATTGACAAGAAGTTTAACTAATATTTCATGTTCTTAGAAATCTGTTGCTATACCACCAGAAGACAGAAATAAAAGCCAAAATGTCTTAGCACTAAAAAAAAAAAAAAAAAAAGAAAGAAAGAAAGGAAAGATGGAGAATTCTTTTGTAATTCTAACAGTTACCTTCTAATTATATATATGATTTAGTTTGATGGGTACCCAGTTTTAAGGAGAGTAGCTGTGAACAAAAGCTTTCTTGTGGCACTCAAGGGTTGGGAGGCAGTCCCAGTAAGTCAGGAAAACGGTGGACAGACAGGCTGCTTCATTACCTCAACATTCATACAAATTAGTGCTGTCACAAGCAAAAGGCACCCTCTTCACTTTCCCTAAGATTCAGACTGGCCTCAGGTCTAAGGCTAAAGAGCTTCACTGTCTAGTACCGTAGCCACTAGACCCAGGAGCACCTGAAATGTAGCTATGCTAAATTGAGACTTGTTAACACACTCTGGATTTCAAACTTGGTATGGAAAAAAATATAAAATCATTATTTTTTTACATTGATTATAGGATAAAATTGTATTCTGGATATACTGGGTTATATAAAACATTATTAAAATTAATTTCACTTTATTTTTTTAACTTTTTAATGTGACTACTATAAAGTTTAAAATTATATGTGTGGCTTACATTACAGTTCTATTGGACAGTGCTGGAGAGAGAAGTCATTAAAAAAGCAAACTCTGAAAACACATTACTTTTGGTTCTGTCCTAGCCCCTATACTAATAGCTATGCAATGCTGAGGAAATTAAACTCTAAAAAACTCATCTCATTTACAAAATGGAGATAATAATGGTATCATGTGGTTGTGGTAAGAAGTAAATATGATACTTATAGTGTTTGGCATATATATGCTAAAAGATCCTGGGATACTTGAATTAAATTGAGTTCCTCCAAACTCCTAAATGAATAATCTCTCCATCGTTCTACCCTACTCCCAAAGGGGGCCTGGCATCAAGTTAAGCTTGTGTTCAAGACGTCTACCTTAGTTCGAGAATCCCAAGGATCTAAGAAAAATACTGATCAATCAACATTTGATGTATAAACGTAGCTTCACCTGAACCATCACTCTTTCTGAGCAATTGCCTCACTAATCTCGTCACCTGTTTCATTCTCTATAGTCCCTCTTCAAAATCTATTCCCTACCCGCTGCCCCAAGACCCTAGTTTCACCCCAATCTTCCTCATTCTTCTAGTTTACTGAAAAATGCAGCCATAGCCTGAACTCTATCTACATATACACCTTACCTCCTTCACCCCACTATGTCCTCTGGCTTCTTAAAATGTCTGCACCTCTACTCATATTCTTTTTCCCTCAGTCTCAGCTCAACGTCTCTTCCTCCTAAACTAATACTAACACCTCGTTTCTTTATCCGGTCTCCCCTCTGGCATCTTGGCCTTGAAAGCAAAAACAAACAAAAATTCTTCCCTCAACCCTTTTACCCCAATAATTATCTTCTTTCTTTATGAAGCCAAACTTGAATAAGTAACCTATATTCACTGTCACCAATTCCCTATCACCAAGTCTCTTTTAAAACTCTTGCAAAATGGCTTATACCACAATCATTACCAGGATTCTGTTCTCTTTGAGTTCATCAACGATTTCTTAAATCATCAAACCATTCTCTGAGGACTCATGTTCTTTGACATCCCTAAAGAATGTAACCTTGATGATTCTCCCTAATTCTCAAGGATCTTTCCATCTATACCTCTTCAGTTTCTTCATGTTTTTTTCACTCTCCTCCTAGAAATGTGGACGTTCCCCATTCCCTCTCTCTTCTTAGATATCTTAAAACCTAAAGCTTCAGTTACAGAATATCTAAATCTATATCTCCAATGGTGATCTCTCCTCAAGACAAGTATGTCTAACAACCAGTGTCACTGCCACCTCAAAATATTTCTAAAACAAAACTTATTTCCCTGATTCCCTTTCTATGCCTTCCACTTAAATTTGCTATCTCTCTTTAATAAGTTTTCAGTGACCAAGGTCAAAAGCCTCAACCTTCTTTTACCAGCAATCCCACCCTACTTGCACCTCCTCTTCCTCCCAATGCAATGTTATTTAGACCCAGTTCCAGTAACATCTGTAACATGGTCCTTTCTGATCACCCAACCGGGAATGATCTTTCCTTCCCCACTTTCCTAAAAAACTTGGCTTGCATCGCTCACTGGATGTTTATCATACCTGTCCTGACCTATAGAATTTTGAATGCAGGGAACTATAAATTTCTGCATGTAACACAGAATAATCAGAGTACTTCACTCATGACCAGCACTTCATGAATATTAATGAAGGGCATGAAAAGAATTTTATCGGCACCTTCCTCATGCCAAAGTAAACATTAGGAAGAGAACCCTCATTCTCAGCAAGTTACTACTTTACATACTCTATTTTAACTAGCCTCCATATCATCTCTTACCTTACCTCTGCCTGCTAACAAGACTGTTTTCTGAACTCCAGGGTAGGGTCTTACTTCCAACTACCTTCTAAATATCGTCACTTAGATGACTTGGAGGCACCCTAAATTTAACATGTCTCAAACTGATCTCAGAATCGTCCTCTAATTGTCTTTCTTCCTGTATTTCTTTCTGAAAATAAAAATAATAGCTCACATAAATACCTTTATATATACTATGCTATTTACTCCTCACAACAACCCTATGTATATTATCATTTCTCTACCACAAATGGGATTTAAACACTAATAACTTAAGATCGTACAACTAGTAAGTGACAAATGTACAGATACACACCTTGGCATATTTGACTCCAAAGGCCATGCTCATCCAGTGACACAAGGCAAAATTAGAAACCTTCAAGTCATCCTAGAAACTCTCCTCACTCTCTACATCCTGCCACCCAATCCTATTCTACTATCTAAATATTTCTCAAACTAGTCCTCTCTTCTATACCTATAACTACTGCCTCTGTTCAGCCCCTCAACATCTCTCCCCTGAACTGTGCATTAACCACCTAATAGATATTTTGTCTCGAATTTCAACCACCTATACGGTTCTTTCTATAATTTAAATTTCATCATGTTGTTACACTACTTAAAAATTTTATGAAGATTTCCAAATACTAACCAGGTAAAGTTCAAACTCCTTAACTGGACCTCTATCTTTCTAATCTCATTCCACTATTCTCCAAATGCGTACTAACCATGCATACTAAACATCTTGTCTCTCACAGTGTGGTAGCACTCACTCTTCCTCAGTTCACAAGGTTCCCTTTCTTTACAGATGATTTCTAACTATCCTTCCAGATTTAGTTCAAGCATCCTCTCCTCAAGGAAGTGTTTATGGGCTCCATCCCCACCCCGAATAAATTAAGCATTCCTTTCTCTGTACTCCCATAGCACTTTCCCCTTATTTCTTATCCAAACTCATCACAGGTTATTCTATTGTTTTTCTGTCCCTTCCTTCTGGTTCAGAGTTCTTTGAGGACAGAGATTTTATATTTAATCTCTTATCGCTAGCATAACCTCTGGAACACAGTAAGCATTCTATATATATGTAGCAAATGGCATCTTTTAAAAAGAAGAAGGATTGATAACAGGCTTACAAATTACAGCACAGAATATTTGAGAATGTCAGGAATCAGTCTTCCATATTTGCTGAGCGAGTAATTAAATACTCCTGAAAGAATGCTGATGACCAGGAAAGTCAGTTAAGGACAAGCGCACCTAAAAAAGAAGTAGAGAGAGACCAGAGAACTCAAAGACTTTAGGGAGAATATAATGAAATAATTTATTTAAAGAACATAATAAATCTAACACAACTGTTTTATAGAGCCAATAGAAATGCAGGATAAACAGTCAACATTCTCTTACACTAATTTTGTAATGTTGAAAGTTATTTTAGCAATATCAATCACAAACTCTGTGTACTGCCAAGTAATGTAATTCGACTTAAAGTGACTCCAAACAATCTGACACTTCCTCTTGGTTCTTAAATAAAATCAATTTTTGGCATCCACATTTCTTCCGCATGTGCTGGAATTTATAACTGGCAAACAACTTTAAGTCTTGCACCCAAAAGGATCTGGGGAATTGGCTGCAACAAAGGCCTCAACGTGATTTAGTCCAGAAAGGCCAAACCAGACGCTTAACGAGACCCGATGAGCTCGGAGACCGCCCTCCACGTATGCATAGCCGCGGGCGCCGTTCGTCCGCTTCCCGCCCCAGTGATGGCGGGAGAGGGGAGGGAGGTGGGAGATAAGTGGGGCGAGGGGGGCGGTCGGGGAAAGGATATATGAGGTTGGGGTGGGGAGGAGGGGCGCCGACAGATGCAGCGGCGCTCGGGTACAGACCCGGACGAGTTAAGGGGCGGGGTCTCCGAGCCTAAGAGAATATAAGAATGAATGCCCATTAGCCGCACACTACCTTGTTGCTCGCGCGAGGTGGGCAATTACCATCCACTAGCCGACCAGCCACTGTCCCGCCCGCAGCCCATGACCGTACCTGACTCGCTCCGAATGCGCGCGCGCGGCTCGCGGCACTTAGTCCCGCCCCTCCAGGGAAACGTGGGATTGGCGCTACACGCAGCCAATCCGCTGGCAGCGCGTTCGGCTCTGAAGGCTTCCGTAAGCTGCGCTGCGCCGCGCTGCGCTGAGGCTGAACTGGCGTTCGGCAGTGAGGAGTCACCATCGTGTCGAAGCTGGTCCTACCTTGACCCGGCCGCCAGGAGTGGGGCGGCGGATGAGTGAACGCGAACGGCCGCAAGGTTGTGTTGCTGCTTGCGGCGGTAGGGAGCTGCTGGCGGGCCCGAGTCAGCCTAAGGGGTAAGAGTGGGTTATGGCTGTGTCCGCGGTGCCCTGCTTGGTGGTACCAGCCAAGTGGCCCCCGAGGCTTGCGCCCCAAATCCTTGTCGTATCCCGCCCCTGACGGATGTGTAGCTCCAAGAAGGAAGGGACGGGTGAGAGAGGCGCTGCGGCGGTAGGGGCAGCTACGCTTCCACTGTCTGGGAGCTCCGGTTATCGGGGTAGGCTGTCGGTGGCTGGCTGGCAAGCAGGCAGGCGAAGGACTCCCTAAGGAGGTGGTTGTGAGTCGCCACCCTTAAGGCACTCGCGGGGTCTGAGCCGAGAGGCTCTTCGCTGCTTGAAGTCATTGTTTGCCAGTGAGTCGGGAAACTCCCTGGAAAAGTTTTCTGAACGGGGTTAGGGTTGGTACCACACTACCTTTGCCTTCCAGCTCAGATGTAAATTTTAGCCTCTTTCGAGCATTCTTCTCCCATCCTGTGGAAAGTGAGAAAAGTATCTTGAGTAATGATATGTTCTGAGTATAACTTAGAATATAAAAGTAACGTATGAATACACGATGGGTGTTTAGATTAGAAAAAATATTTACACGTGAAAATTTGAGACGCTTCGTTTTGGTGTAACTAACTTTTGTCACCGTAAGTCTTGATGCCTTGCTGTGTTCCATGGATTTTTGGAGGGAAAAGGGGACATTGTATTTATTGGATGTGGTTACGAGAAATTCTCTCTCAGTGCCAACTCTGTAATAGAAAGGGGTTTATATATTTTTCAATCAGAGCTGTTCCAAATATAATCTGACCCTCTTTCCTCTTTTCAATCCCAGTCGGTTTTTAACGGAATGATAGGTGGTATTCTTCAGGGCAGTTTTGTTTTAAACGATAATTAGATCCAAGGAAACATCGTCATTAAAATAACCGGGAACTATTATCATTTGCTTTAGTGTTCATTTTAAAAACAAAAGGGAAAGGGGAAAACTTTAAAAAGAACGGAGAAAAAACTAAAATTTTAGGGAAGTTAAGTAGAGTTAAATATGCAGAAGAAAACCTCATCGTTTTATCCTAATTGTATCACGAGAATGAGAAACAAACCTTATCTCTTGATCATGTAAATTTTCCACCACTTTGTGTACCTCTTAAGTACAGTATTCAAAAAGGAATGATTTGAACTGCGACCCCTGTTTGTGGATACAACATTACATTAGCTAGAGGAGTCTAGCTACTCACAACAGACTGGCGGGGTCAGCTTTGCTTTCTTTATATTAATTTATCCTGTTGGTAACTTTAGCTCCTGAGTTTTCACTTTGCTCTCATGATAAAATAAAACATAGTTTTTCTCAATCAGTTTGAATATTCCTGCCCATTATTTCATTTAGCAGAACCAACACGCTAGAGGACAAGCTTTAGGGAAAGGTATTTTAACTTAGTTTTTCAATGAGAACTATAAAAATAAGTCTCGTTTGTCTTACCATATAGTCACATGCTAAGAATTGTTTACTGTCTTTGTCAGCATCTGCAAGTGGCATTATTTTGGAGAGTGTGTGTGTTCTCTGTCAGAACAACTAGGAAAAGATAATCCTAGTTAACATATTTTGTCATGTCAGAATTAGGAGAATTTAGGTTTCCAGTTATGTCACTGTTGATTCATTTCATTGCTTTCCTACAGAGTAAACATGAACGTTGGAGTTGCCCACAGCGAAGTGAATCCAAATACCCGCGTCATGAACAGCCGGGGTATGTGGCTGACATATGCATTGGGAGTTGGCTTGCTTCATATTGTCTTACTTAGTATTCCCTTCTTCAGTGTTCCTGTTGCTTGGACCTTAACAAATGTTATACATAATCTGGTAAGAATTTCACTGTACACTAAACACTTGAAAGCTTAAGGTTTAATGGTTGTCAGGGACTGGGGGAGAAAGGAATGAGGAGTTATTGTTAAATTGGTATAGTTTCAGTTTTGTATGATGCTAAGAGTTCTGGAGATGAAGAGTGGCGATAGTTGCATAACAGTGTGAATGTACTTTATATCATTCAACTATGCACTGAAAATGATTAATATGGTACATTTTATGATAAGTGTATTTAAACACAATTTTTTAAAAAAGCTTAAAGTTTTGTTATAAAGAAAAACATGCCACAGTTTTTTTAAAAGTTTTATGAAATATGATTTACATAATATAAATTCACTCATTTAAAGTATATGGTTTAGTGATTTTTAGAATATATGACAATTTTGAAAAATTCTTAATCTGGAATAAGGTTATATTTTTGTCACACTTTAAACATTGGGCCATTTTTCTAAGTAAGACTTTTTTCCCTATTATCTTTATAGAATCTAGAAAATAGGTCATTTCTGTAAAAATTACAAGACTATTCAGACCACTATAATATATTGATTAACTAGAATGCTTCAGAAGAAGTAATTACCTTTTTTTGGTTAACTGGAGCCTTATGAATATCTTTGGTTTCAATACTTGTTAAGTCTTTCTAAATTGTGTAAATATACTTTCCTGCTTCAGTCTAGAAAATTTGAGCTTCATTTATATATATGTTTCAGGATCTTATGGTGCCTTAGCTTCTTCATGTTGACTATCATTCTTCTGTATTATACAGTAGCTCTACAAAGTATCAGAAGTTTGATCAACTCTGCTGACCATGTCATGCAGCCTTGAAATTGCCTATTATATTAAAAAAAAAACCTGACAGTGACTTTTCTTGTCTTTAACAACCTATTAAAGTAGAATAAATGGGTAGAAATCAAGTTAATTGACTTTAAGTTGAATCCAGAGTAGTTATATATTTGTTTATAAAGATATCCAAAAAATTAAGATCTTAGAATTAAGACAAAAAACGTAGGCGAAATAAATTTAAAATTAATATTGTTTTATTTTTTCTGGAGAGTATTTGAAGTTGACTGGAAGAGAATAAGGATGATGTGGTAGAAATAAGAGAATGAGCATTTAGTCCATTTTCAGTGATAGCCTTTGGTAGGGCAAACACTTTGTAAGTAGTGACTTCTCTGAACTATTTTACATTTATCATATCCCTTTTATTGGAATTATTTTCCTTTGGTTTTCATGGGATTACTTTTTCCTAGACATATTCTGATCTTGCCTTTTCTATTTCCTCTTGTACAGTCTTCCATCTCTTTTCCTAAGGTTTTCTTCACGTCTTCTTATATTACTTCATCTTTCCATATTTTCAGTTTCTACCTGTAGAATGATGATGCCCATATTAATATTGCCAGATCACTTTGCACCTTAAACCAAACAAGTATAAATTGAACTCATTCACAGTCTATTCCTTAAACCCATAATCTGTTCCTATGACTGTTCCTAATTTAATCTAAATGCATCACTGTCTGTCCAGTAAGCCAAGCCAGATAGCTGAATGTCAAAGGAGAAGTGGTTAATATAATGTATCATCCAAACAGACTGCGTTGAGAGTAAAAGGGAGCTCTGGTAATAACTACTCCAAGAGAATACGTGTAAATCAGGACTGTCCATGCAAACTAGCATATGTGGTCATCCTACTCTTAGGATAACTCTTTTTCCTTTATATTCCATATTTATTTAGTGAAGCCCTGTCTTTTCTACTGCTTTACTGTCTCACAACTTGATCCCCACTGTCATTGCTATAATTCATACGCTTATTTTTCTCAGGTGGATTACTCTAATAGGTAAATTGTCTCCTTGTTGCTCCTCTACTCCCCTCCATTCTAGCTTGGTAGAGTGATAGTTTTAAAATGCATGTCTGCTCAAGTCACACTCATTAGGTTCTTCAGTGATTCTCTGTTACATTCATAGTAAAATGCAAGTTCCTTGTGTGGTATACAAGACCAGTTGATAACTGCAGAGGCAAGAAAGGGACTCAGTCTTATTTTAGCCCATTTCCAAATACAAGTTATGTTCTAACAATAATTAAAATCATCTTCCTCTCACCTTTTTGCTTTGGCTTAGGCTCTTCTTCCACTATTTTAATACCCCTCCCTTATTCCCGCTCTGCTTGACTCATTCCTACTTGTCCCTGAAAACTACTCAAGTATCATCTCCTCCAAGAAGCTACAAAACTCTCATGCATTCTTTTACATTCTTTTATCATGTATTTATGATAGTTTTATAATTAGTAGCTTATGTGGTTTTTTTTTTTTAAATTTCCATATCTTCAAACACCTACTTAAATGTTTGCTGAATAAATTAATTTGTATTGTCATGGAATTTTTCCTTCTCCAGTGATACATGTATTAAATATGCTTTAGAAGTCATCTCTGCCCATGTTTTTAATTTGGTTGACTGAGATTGAGGCACAGTATATGACAGTGGATAAAGGATAGGTAACTTACAACATGTAGGGAAGCAAACTTCTGACTTTTTAGTTTACCACACTAAAAACCTAACTAACCAGCCGTAGCTGTAGCAATTATATGACTCCAAATTAAGTTTCTTTTGAAGGTAGCCTATATTAAACCAATTAAAAATGTGGAATACATGCTGAATGCTTTTAAATGTGGGAAAATAGACCTAATTATTATCCTTGGTTAGAAAAAATACTCTTCTGAATCATACATAGAAATCTTCAGTGGTTGTTTTTATTCACTGCTACAGTTCACTCTTAGAGGTATTAATACTTTGCCAAATTTTTTGTCTAGCTTTTAAAGTGAATGAGAATTCTCTTGGTACCCTCCATTCTAGCTTGGTAGAGTGATAGTTTTAAAATGCATGTCTGCTCAAGTCACACTCATTAGGTTCTTCAGTGATTCTCTGTTACATTCATAGTAAAATGCAAGTTCCTTGTGTGGTATACAAGACCAGTTGATAACTGCAGAGGCAAGAAAGGGACTCAGTCTTATTTTAGCCCATTTCCAAATACAAGTTATGTTCTAACAATAATTAAAATCATCTTCCTCTCACCTTTTTGCTTTGGCTTAGGCTCTTCTTCCACTATTTTAATACCCCTCCCTTATTCCCGCTCTGCTTGACTCATTCCTACTTGTCCCTGAAAACTACTCAAGTATCATCTCCTCCAAGAAGCTACAAAACTCTCATGCATTCTTTTACATTCTTTTATCATGTATTTATGATAGTTTTATAATTAGTAGCTTATGTGGTTTTTTTTTTTTAAATTTCCATATCTTCAAACACCTACTTAAATGTTTGCTGAATAAATTAATTTGTATTGTCATGGAATTTTTCCTTCTCCAGTGATACATGTATTAAATATGCTTTAGAAGTCATCTCTGCCCATGTTTTTAATTTGGTTGACTGAGATTGAGGCACAGTATATGACAGTGGATAAAGGATAGGTAACTTACAACATGTAGGGAAGCAAACTTCTGACTTTTTAGTTTACCACACTAAAAACCTAACTAACCAGCCGTAGCTGTAGCAATTATATGACTCCAAATTAAGTTTCTTTTGAAGGTAGCCTATATTAAACCAATTAAAAATGTGGAATACATGCTGAATGCTTTTAAATGTGGGAAAATAGACCTAATTATTATCCTTGGTTAGAAAAAATACTCTTCTGAATCATACATAGAAATCTTCAGTGGTTGTTTTTATTCACTGCTACAGTTCACTCTTAGAGGTATTAATACTTTGCCAAATTTTTTGTCTAGCTTTTAAAGTGAATGAGAATTCTCTTGGTTTTGAGTCAATAAATATTTGTTAAGGGCTAACCATGAGCTATGTACCTTTTTCCTAATTCTTTGGGTGTAGGTATAAATCAGCCATCACAAATTTTATAGAAAAACTATTAAAGATTAAAATAATGGAGTAGAAGACACATGGTCAGATGAGATTTTAATCTTTTTCATTGAAAATGATATATCAAATAAATGGAATATTCTAAATACTGGTGAGTTCATGTGGTTTGAAGGAAATACCAAGAGGATTATTGTTCTCTTTGATAATTATAACACATATATGGTCTAGAGTAGAGAGTCTTAACTTTTTTGGGTCACGTACTGCTGAGAATTTGGAAACATCCAATTTCTGTTTCATAATCTCCTTTAAAGCCCATGCGAAAATGGTTTGCTTGTGCTTAAAGAATAAACATTCCTTGGCTTAATGTCATCTTGGCTTAATATCTAATACTCGCTGTATACCAGCCTTTGTTCCAGAAGTATTCATGCCAGTGGGAAGACAAACATTACGTAAATGACTCCAGCACAATATAATGTGCTATAATAAAACCATTTTCAATAAACTTCTGTACAACCAGGTAGGCAGGAGGTCATTACTAATGAGGAAGGCTCACTGAGGAGTTGTCATTTGAGCCGAACCTTCAGAAACAAGATAGTTGACAAGGTATTGTCAAGTTTTTTGCCTAGCAACAAGAAACGTTTTCCTCCTCTGCATTTCCTAAGTATTCTGATTATACTTTTGATAGCAAATTCTGCCCTACATTCTAATTGTTTATGCATATTTTTCTCCATTACCATCTCTTCAAAGATCAGACTTTTTAAGGCTGTGTGTCATATATGCATACATGTCCTGTGTCTTGTACATTAAACCACTTTTTAATGTTTGTTGAGTTAAATCCAATTGAAAATGAGTCCATTCCTCTTTAGCTTAGGTGTTATTGCAGCTAAACAACTTTTTAATTGCCTAATGAAATAATTAAAAAGTAGACTAAGCTTTGAAAAGAAGGCCTCTCTCAACTTAGTATAATATAAAATTTCAAATCACTAATTTTTCTCTTTTTTCCACATATTTATTAGAAGTAGCAAAAATGACGTGACATTATGATTTCTAGTGGAGAACACTGTTTCGATATAATGTTTTGGCTTTATTCTGTTACCAGTTCCTCAGACTGTGATCTTGCAATGAAGTACTACCTATCAGTCTAAATGAGTATCATAATCTCAAGGAAACCAAGTCTAGTGTACATTGTTCTTTTCCTAATTAACCACAAAATGAGCTATTTAAACCTCACTTGACAGATTGGCTTTTAGTAATTTTTTTTTTAAACTAACTTCAAAAGAAACACTATTGAGGCACAGTTGTGATTTTAAAAGCAAATTGAGTTGATTATTATACATATTACATCAAACCATCTTTATTGCTTTGGAAGAGATCTATTGGAACAAAGTCCTAATATTAAATACTTTCAAAACCATTTTCCTTGATATAGAGATTTTATTATTTACCAATATATGTTTTATCATTTTAAAATATCATCAGATTTACTAATATGACACTCTACAATTTCCTACACATTAGGGAAAAGATAACTTACCTATTTCCTAATCAGAAAGGTGTTAGAAAATCTAAATGTAATGATACAAAGCTACCCTGATGTTCCTTTTTGTTTATTTTCAATTTAATAAGAGATGAAAACAGGTTACTCTTGGTTGACCTGTTACTAGTTTTCTCCAAATAATACTTATATGCTCTCGCAAGTTTTATTTTACTATGAAGAAATTGACCACAGCCTTTCACAATATTATGAAAGCTTAAAACTTGAGCTGTTAAGTCGTATGCTCCGTCACAAATAATCTGGAATTATCTTAATGCTTACTGACAAAAATCAGTTTTGTTTTTTGATAGTGATTATATGCCCCCTTGCTTGTTTTCCAGGGGATGTATGTATTTTTGCATGCAGTAAAAGGAACACCTTTTGAAACCCCTGACCAAGGTAAAGCAAGGCTCCTAACTCATTGGGAACAACTGGACTATGGAGTGCAGTTTACATCTTCACGGAAGTTTTTCACAATTTCTCCAATAATTCTGTAAGTGTTGGAAATTTTTAGGTATAAGGATTGTATAAGAGGAAGCTATCCTTTATTAGATTGTATTTGAATTAGAAACAGTATTTTGTTAAAAACATATTCATAAATACCTACCTCAGAGTATAAAATGCAGGCAAAATCTTTCACAATTTGGTAATAAATGAGTTTTCACTTTAGTCAATAACATATGGAGACTATTACATGCTCATCAGTATGCTTAGACAATCTAGGATATACAGGTCAAATATATTGTAGTTTGTATCTATAAGTTGCTTACAGGAAAAATAAACACAATCTTATTTATATTCCACTATCAGAGAAATCTCCCTAAAGAAGGATTTGGACGATATCACACAAATTTCACTAACCACCTGCCTCATTTGGATGTTCAAACTCCTTGAGAGATAACAGTATGATTTAGAGAAAAAAGAAGTTAGGCTTTCATTATAGGACAGACCTGGGTTGAATCCTTTATCACTTAACCAGCTTAGTTTGCTCATAAAATGAAATTTTAGCCAGTGACACCTAACTCAGTCCAATGCTGTAAGAAAGAAATGAGATGACATCTATCTGTAAAGCATCTAACCTTGTATATGGTATCTATTGTCCTCCTATTACCTGATATTCAGGGCCCTCCACAAAATGGTTTCTACTCATTTGTCTTGATGTTCATATTTTACCCTCATCCAATTCCTACCTTGTCAAACTCTTCTAAGCAGCATTTCTTGAATACTTCATGTATAGTTCTATTTAAGTTCTTTTGTTCAAATCACGTCTCCTACCTGAAATGCCTTCTCCTTTCTTAACTCATGTCTTACTCTTTCAAGATTTAAATTCCACCTCTTCAGTGATGTCTTTTCTTGAGCACCCAACCTTCATTGATAATGCTCTGCTTAGAACTCCCATAGTAGTTGATATTTATCCCTTCTTTATGCCACTTTATATTATTTTTCTGTTATTTTTTATTTTATTTCTGCAAAGAATTTGTGAATGCATAGATTGATTTGAATTCCACACTCAATACATTTGCTTACGTATGATAAATATTTCACATATATATTAAACATTTTTCTACCACATAGCTTATACATAATAACATATCCACAATAGAATCATTGCACTGTGGAGTATCTAGAAGATTTCTTAGAGGCATTGAAATTCCTTAAACTAGGACTTAAGGGAGGGTAGGTTTTAGATAGATGTTCAAGTAATAAAAGGCATTTTCAAACAAAAGCAATAAGCTGATCATAAAGAAGTAGTTTTCTTTTTCCATATATTTATAGCATTTTGAAGACATTTTTAAGTTGTTTTAACCCCATATAAAATTAATGTCAAAAGAAAAATGATTTGAATGATCTAACAGATAAATGTAGTAACAAGAATAATTATTCAAACATCCCTAAATTTGGATTTTAGCTGTAGGAAGTAGGTAGAAGATTATAGAATTTTTCAATTTAGATGATTCTAAAAATGATGTATACACCTCTCTGTGGTGTTTTTAGTTATACTTAAAGATAGCTTTTTTTCCCTAACCATATCTAACCACTCATCTCCCCTTATGAGAAACTAATGGCTGTACTTAGTGAAAAGCTATAAGAATTTTCTTGTGTACTCTAAAAGCACTAATTAGACAAACACCCATATGCAAACTAACTTCTTAGTTATGATTAAGGTATGATATTTTATTCTTTACATCCTATCTATATTAGGATACTCTGTTAGGGTCTAGATGATGTGTCTGTACTCTGATGTACACTTGGATAAAACTAGACGTTCTGACTTGGTTTATGTTCTTACAGGTGGCTTAGGCTTGTTAAAACAAATTCTCAGATGTTGGGTGTCTTTGAATATGTACGTGTACTCATATACATTTTATAGCAAAACAGCTGGAATTTTATATCAGTGTCTTTCAGGTTTCCAGTAAGACTGATTATAGATCTGTTAACCTATAGTATGGAAATGAGACCATCAAAAGGGCAATCTAATATTTGTTTTCTTTCAAAGATACTAATTGTACTAATATACTAACACCCCATGTTCCACAACTTTACAGCAGTGGTTCTTAACCTTTTGGTGGGTCACAAAACCCTTTGAGAATATGATAGATCCCTTAGAGATGGATCTTATCTTCAGAAACATATACAGAACTATAAAACTACACCTGAAATTTCAGGGAACATATGAACCCTAGTTTGAAAGCCTACTTTAAAGGACACTAAGTAGCAAACATACTCTATTAAATGCTTTTAACATAATTGCAGAAATGCAAGATGCATATATGCCTCCATTAAACAAATATTTAAATCCCAAATAAAGTTAATTTAGGTCCCCAAACTAAACTGTTTCTTCTTGTCTTAGTGTTCAAAATGGTTCTGCTTTTAGGTATTTATATTTCAGTAGCTTTTTTTCTACCTTTAAATTAAAAAAAAAAAGTAATTTTATTTTTAGATGTTATATACTTTTATTTCTACAGATATTTCCTGGCAAGTTTCTATACGAAGTATGATCCAACTCACTTCATCCTAAATACAGCTTCTCTCCTGAGTGTGCTAATTCCCAAAATGCCACAGCTACATGGTGTTCGGATCTTTGGAATTAATAAGTATTGAAAAGTTTTGAAACTGAAGAAAAATTTTTACAGCTACTGAGTTGCCTGTAAGGAAAGAGTGGTTAGTAAAATTCACTGCTTCTTGTGTGAAATGAGGGATATTTACATTGGAGAGCCAATTGCTGGTTCTTCATATGCTGTTTTGAAGTGCAGATTTTTACTAGAGGATGCCTGTGTTTAATGCATCTGGTATATTTCTGAAGAGAGGCTTTATAGGCAGGCTGGGCAGGCCCAGCTTATAAGTTAAATGGCTATAAAGTGAGGATGTAGCAGATAAATCCAAGGAAATGAGAGATTTGTAAGAAACTAAGACCAATTTTGCTTATGAAGAATGAGCATTGTGTTAGGAAAAGAAAATTTCCAATCATTCAGTCATGGTCAGTTTAAGTTGACTTTCATGGAAACCATAATCATCTCTTTACAAGTTTATTTGTTTTTTAATACCGTCCATATTCCTCTTGTGTTATATAAGAGGATATATACCCTTTTGTTTCCTACCCTGAGTGTGCTTTTTTTGTTTTGCTGGCTCAACATTATATGTTGATAGATGAAGTCATTTTTTACATTTATGAAGTTACTGAGTTCTCAAAGGTTTAATTTCATGACTGATTGGTGATAGAAGATAGCCGGAATTTTACAAACAGCCTCTGAGTCAGCCATCTAATTTTGGAGCAAAGTGGGTTTTGTTGCCTTTACAGACACAAGGCTGCCAAACCAATTAAGAAAATAATTTATTTCACATGGTTAAAGTATATGGTTATTTAAAAGTCTCTGCTTATTTGATTGCGCAATCTAATCGTTAAAGTCAGTCACTCTTTAAAAAAGGATATATAAAATGGGCAACTATATAGCCAACCTGTGATATGGCAGAAACTACTTCTCTGGCAATAGTACCAAAACAAATACTGGAGTCTTTTAGCAGGCCAGGAGCAAAAGATAACATCATCTTTTCTTAGTCCTCCAGTTCTCAGTCCCCATATTTTGCCCATTAATATTTTGCCTTTCAATACATTAGTTTTAGTATAGATAACCCAATATGGTAACTATTTCCAAAGCAGCAACCGTACTGAATTCTTATGACTTACAGAAGCTTCCTATAGTTGCTAACGTTATTGCAAGAAATGACTATATACTACTTTGAGAAGTAAGTATGTCCAAAAAACAAAGTTCTGATAAGTGATGAAACTCAAATCTTAGTAATGCTTATAAACAAAATTGAGTGAAAAGAGTTATAAACCAATTTAAAAATCAGTTTGTTTCAATAAACTGACTTTTGGGGGTAGTGATCATTGTTTTGTATTTCAAAAGTATTGACTTTAGAAATCACTTGTGTGATAACACCTTTGTATGTTTGTCTTTTCCCATGTATTTTTAAATAATCAGTAATCTACACTTCAATAAATTTTTTTTTTTTTTGGTGTAGAATTATTGCACTGTCTCTCCAAATTCAGTCATCAGTGTTATACTTGTAGTTTTCAAAAGTTTTTATAAGCAACTGAATTTGTAAAATCGAGGTAGTTAAAAATATTTTTCTTTTTATTTTAAAGTTTATCTCAAAAGGCTTACATTTTTTGCACAGACTTTAGAGATAGAAATCTGGCTCTAATCCAGGCCTTCTGCTATTTTCCTGCTTTCACCCTTCAATGTTTTAAAAATATTTATTCAATAGATATTTGAGGGCCCACTTTGTTGTAGGTATTATTTTAGGTATTGTGGATATAATTTGTAAACAAGACAAACTAAGTCCTCTTCCTTGTGTGCTAACTAACATTCAAGTTGGAGAACATATAATAAGTAAATAAATAATATATTATTGATAAATGCCATTGAGGAGAGGAATAAAGCAGGTGAATGAAAGGCAGGGGAACCCACCTCAGAAAGGACTTCCCTGTAGATTCTAACTAAAGTGACCCTACTGATGAACACAGACTTTACTGATGTATAGGTAATGACAAATATTAAGGCAGGAATGAGCATGTTGTGTGTGAGGAAAAGCAAGAGAGCCACTAGGGGTAGGAGTAATAGGGAGCATGAGAATGGTAGCAGACGAGGTCAGAGAAGTAGGTAAGGGTCAGATCATATAGCGCTTTTTAGACCAAAGTAATGAGCAAATTTTATGCTAGGCTTGACAAAGCCATTGGAGAGTTTCACACAGATTAAAGGGATTTCCTTTTTTTTTTTAAAGTTAGGGCTCATGCTGAGAATAAACTGTAAGGGAATCAGAAACAGGAAAAATAGGAAGCTACTATAAGCAAAAGGTAGATTAGGGAAAGGGCTGATGAAGTGGTGAGAAGTGGTCAGATTTGGGCTATATTTAGCAAGTACAGCTCATGAGACACTGATGTATTGAATGTGGGGAGGGGAAAGGGATTAAAATAACCTAGTTTTTTGGCCTTAACGCCTGGGCGAATGGTTGTATTAAATGTGGAAACTGTTGCCAATTTCACAGATTTGTTCAGTTTAATGTAAACAAACTAAAAAACGTTTTTAAAATAATCTATAATGACTGTTATTTGTAACAAAATAAACTGTTATGTTATAATAGCTCCTAATTTCAGGTCAGGAGATTTAATGGCAATTTCTAATTAGGCATGAGCTCAGAAATGCCATTTATTGGTGAATCTTTCCTGTAGCAGTTATTACTGTGGCGTTCCAATGGTAGGTTTCTATTTCCCTCATTCCTTCTACATTTATTTATTGGAATCCTTCTGTAAAAGGACGATTTTTTCCTTCTCCATTTATTCAGTCATTTATATTATTATAGACTCATGGATATTTTATTCTTTGGTTTATAATCCATTATTATCATTATTTGTTGTTCATATTGTCTTCCAGCTTTGGCCATTGGAAGCCAAAATTCCCAATGTAACTTTCCAAGTTGGCTTATGTGTCCTTTTGACCTGCCTGGTTTTTTTTAAACATAGAACTATATTTTTTTAGGTTTACGGCACTATTGTCTTTTAAACTATAAAGATCTTGAGGGGCGTAACAGTATCTCCTTACCTAATATCTGTGTGAATTAGCTTTATAGAGTTACACGATGCTAAAAATTGGAAAAGACATCAGAGGCTATATAATTCAACCCCCTACCTTACCTTGAATTTTCATTAACCACCATGCTTCCATTCAGATCTGTGATATGCTAATAAAGGAGGACTTACAACTTACAAGACTGCATTTTTATAATGGAATGTATAACTTGTTTTACTCTGAGCCATAATCTAATCCTTATTCTGTGTAACAACTATAACTTTTAAACTCTTACCAACAGCACTGAATAAACATTACCAGAGCCTTCACCATTTTCCATGATATAGTTTCAAATTTCTCCCACTATCTTGGTAATTCTGCTCCCAGTTTATCATATAGCACCAGAGCTTACTACAAGAGGTGAAAAGATGTGATGTCACTACAATAGCACCACTTTCCTTGTTCTGGATACTTTTTTTAATACAGCCTAATATCCTTTTAGCTATTTTGAAAGCCATATACCACTGGTTCATTTTATGATCACTGAAATCTCAAGTCTTCAACATGTAATGCTGTTAACTGATAATTTTCCCTGCATGTACTTTTTTAATGGGTTTATTAAACCAAAGTCTAAGATTTCTTATTTTTCCTATAGGACCTCATCTTGTTAGATTTTAGCCTATTGATTCATTCTGTCTAGCTCAAGTTAAGTTTCGATCGTCATGCAATATATTTCTCCTACCCTAGGTCTCCCATAAATATATATCGCCAGTAAATATGACCCCAAAATACCATCATGCTGATCCTGAAGAAGACAAATGCAGGAGCCTGGTAAAGGCCAGAACAATTTGATAATCTTTCCTACAGGACATAGACAAGAGTAATTCCCCAAACAGTTACATGGCTATTACGTGTGGATGTGGGAAATGTAAGCAGGTTCTGTACTGGGAAGACAGGTCTAGGTAAAATACTCTAAAAGGAAGTTTGAAGTAGCATTGTGCAGAGCAGGAAGTAGGCAGAGAGCGCAGATAAACTCCATTTTGCTTGATGTCAAAAAGAAAAGTAGTGAGATTTTTTTTTGCTAATTTTAGTTCCAGTTAAAAATAATTCAGCAGATAGTTATATGAAGTTTAAATTTTTTTTCACTTAGCTACAAATGAAAGCATGAGAAATATAAATATCCAGTGTAGAATATTGACTATCTTAGATATATAGCACACAATTCAACTGTATTTGGTGATGTTTTATTTCTTAAATTGGGTGTTGGGTTCAAAGAAATTTATTATTGTTGACACTTTTTCATTATCTGAAATATTTTATAATTTAAAAGTAGTTTAGTAAAAATGTATTTGAATTTTATGTTTGGCATAGCAGTGTAATTCTATTTTTTGATTAATTCAAGCCCCGATAAACAACTAATGGTTATACAATTGATTCAACTTGTAGCTCTAAAGTTTTATATAAGTTTAAGTTTAGCAGATAAGCCAAGTTTATCACTATGTCCTTTCACTAACTACATAATTATGTTGGTAATTCTTCTCAAATACAAGAATTATAGTAAAGAAACTACATCATTAATACTGTAGAATGAACTCTTGAAAATATAAACTAAGGAATTTTATAGTATATAACTTTTCCAACTTTCCAAATATGTAGTCATAAATTTTTATTAACCCTTTTTTGAAAACCTTTCAAATTTTGCAAAAATTAGGTTTACAATATTATCAAGAAGATAAGCATGCATTATTCATTTTATAATTTTTCCTAATGGGAACAGAGAAGCTAGATCATTTATTGGCTTTTGCCCATTATACCACCCCTATATGAAGACCTGAAACAGTGATCCTGCTTTGAAACATTTGGCCCTCTTTTGAATTTTTATCATGACACTTAACAGTCATATGGAGTGTACAGGAGCAACAAAGAGATTCACCCTCTCGGTTCCATGCCAAAAACATAGACCTCACACACTTGAAAAATTAGATCATCTGAGTATGGCAATTTCTCAAATTAAACAATTACCATATGATCTAGCAATTTCATTTCTGGGCATATACCCAAAAGAAGTGAAAGTAGAGACTTGAAAAGATGTTTGTGCAACCCATGTTTATAGCAGCATTATTCACAATAGAAGAAGGTGGAAGCAACCCAAGTGTCCATTGAAGGATGAATGGCTAAACAAAATGAGGCATATACACACAATGGAATATTACTTAGCTTTAAAAGGAAGGAAATTCTGACACATGCTACGACATTGGGTGAACCTTGATGTTAACGCTAAGTGAAATAGGCTAGTCACAAAAGGACAAATATTGTATAATCCCACATATATGAAGTACCGAGAAGTAGTCCAAGTCATAAAGACAGTAAGAATGGTGGTTGCCAGGGGCTAGGGAGAAGATGAAGTAGGGAATTAGTGTCTAATGATACAGAATTTCAGTTAGGGAAGATTAAAAAGTTTGGAGATGGATGGTAGTGATGGTCGCACAACAACACAAATGTACTTAATGCCATTGAACTGTACACCTATAAATGATTTAAATAGTAAATTTTGTTACATATACCTTACAATGAAAAAAATTAGGATAAATTTGTAAAACACACGTCTCAGCAAACAAAAAGCAAAATATCTTACAAAGATGAGACCTGATTGCCAGTATTACCATTAATGAAAGAATGGTTCAATCAAAAGAGGTATTTGTCAGCAAAAGAACTTAAAGAGGAGAAAGGCAAATGGTTGTATCTTTAGCACAATCCAACCTGTGAAAAATGTTAAGAGAAGTATGTGACTCAGGTGGGAAGGGGTGCATCAGGCTTCAGATATTAGCCATTAAGAGCACCAAACTCATTTCTATTGCTTCTATTTCATATTTACCAAACAATCTTCTTTTCATAATTTGGATCTGGCTTTCATTATAAGTTCGTCAACACAGAGAAGGTGAGGACCAGCAAGCTCAACTATCCTAGCTCCTTGATTGTAGCATTTCTCATTAATAAATTAGTATTACAGTTTTTACATAGCAGTTTATTAGCGAATTGAATGTGTGACTAACCACCCCAGAGCCCAGTCTTTTCCAAATCTGATAAAGCAATTTCAAGCCTAGATATCAGATGTTGAAACCCAGCAATCACAACAAGGTCCTGCTAGGTTATGGATACATCTGTGGCAAGCTACACCACCTTCTCCAAGCAACTTCCTTTTCTCAGTGCACACTTTTCATAACGCTGTGTTGCAGTTCCTTGTTATTAAACTCGGTTTCTTGAAGATAGGGAATGAATATTTTATCTCTAACTACTAATAAAGTTCCTACCACAAAGGGAAAACCCAATAAATATGTGATAAAATAAATCCAATTTAGTAAGACGTAATTAGGAAATGAATACTGTGAAGATTCTTTTATATATAATTTTCCTGTAAAGCTTACAAGTGGAAAAACAACAGCAGAAACAAAATAAGCATATTTAGATTCATTCTGGATTCAATTCAAGTTGAAGTTACAGTGGATAGGTCATATTTCATTGAGAATGCCCATGAGTGCCACACAAACCATATGATGTGAACTGCTGAAAGCCCAGTCAGGCCCCAGAGAGTACACATGCCTTTCCCCAAAAAATTTCTCTAGTACAATAAATAACATGGAAAATGTATACCTTCACTTGTCAAATATGTGGGACTGGTATAGTGCCGTTTTTTCTACTACTCACATACACTCAATCAAAGGAGGAATAAAGTTCTTTCCTAATGTGTCCTACTAGAATTCTGCTGTTTCCACATAATGCAGCATTCAGACACTAGCCAATGGTGCCTAGATGAAGAATCTACCAGTGATAACTAGCACACACAACAGGGATGACTTGACAGCACAGGAAAGCATTGAGACACATCTGTCGAACATCATAACCCGAATTGCAAGAAAACAGTTCCATATGTGAAAGGTTTTATGTTCAGTCTAGATTCTAGTGCATAGTAGAAAATATCCTTTGACCTATCATATCCAATCAGACAGGATGACTAATTTTTCTTAACTTTTAGGTCTTAATTTTTCTTTTTTCCTCTTGTGGGTCGACAATGAAGCCCAGGGGAAAAATATGAGTTATTTTATCTTCTGGCACTTAAGAAGACACTCCAGAGCCAAATGGCCTGATTTCTAGCTCTACACTTACTAGTGTATGATCTGCAAGTCACCCAAGCTCTATGGACTAGTTGCCTCTTCTGTAACATGAGGACAATAACTACATCATGGAATTGTAGGGAGGATTAAATAAATTAATCTGTAACAGTGGCTGGCACATAATAAGTGCCGCTTTATTGTTCATTACAATTATTATCATCACACAAATGAAATTTTTGAAAAATATAAGTTCCACTTAAAAAATTCCAAAATATCCTGGTAATTCTGAATTTATATATCTCTATCTACCACTAGACTATAACTGCTGACTTTTCGACTGTGATTTATTCATCTTTTATACCAAGAGTTTCACACTGTACAAGGCACAGGTATATGTGGCAGCCCTGTCCAAACTCACATTTATAAGGTCCTTGCTAGTAAAACATAAAGCCTAGCAAGGAAGAAGAAAGCCTCTTGGGATAAATATTAAACAAATGATAATAAGTTCACATACCAATAAAAGCAAAAAAAAAAAAGTGGAAGCGCAACAATACGAGGACATACAATGCTGAAGTTGCGTATATAGTAGGCAAAAGATCACATGTATTACGAAAATAGGATATTATAATTTTGAAGGTAAGTGAATATTTACCACACACCTCTTCTTTATTATCACAAAAACAAATCAGACCCATACCTTTTACATGTGAAGAAGTGGGAGTAACGGTTTAAACCATCCGACCAGAAATGCTTCCGTCCTCTGGGAACCCTGTACAAGTCCTTGCGGGCGTCCCTAGTTTCCACAGTTTCTGAAAATATTAGATATCGCAGGCCACTTATTTAGATTTGGTTTTAGTTCCCCGAAAATGGAATGATAATCTACCCAATCCTTTTCCTACAGTGGCTTCCGATATACAGCCAAAGGCAAATATATATGTACACACGCATACATAATATACATACATACATACATACATACATACATCTATAGCTATATCTACATATTTTTAATGTAGCCTAGTGTTTAGAATTTATTGGTGTGTTGTCAGACAAATCTGTGTTCAGTCTCCTCTAGATCAGTCACTAGCCCTGTAACCTTCGAGAAGTCTTGTTAACTACAAAATGTATCAGCGCGCACACAGCTTCTTGGGAAAAAACGCCCTTTACGCTAATATTTATTCCTGAGTTAAAGAGTGACGCCCTCTAGGGCAATAGCAGCCGACCCTGACGACGGGACGCTGGCACCGTGTTGATGACATCACTTCCGGGGCGCCGGGTTCGGGGTTTCTTGAGCCTGAGAAAGGGCCGTGCACCGTCTTTGCAAGGGAGGAGGCGAGTACTTGCTATTAGTGTTCACGAGGCAGGTGGGTGAATTGCCCACTCCTCCCCACTGATCCCGTCCGGGCTACACTTCTCACAGCTGTTCTGTGCGAATAGGGCGATCATGTCTAATCCCTGGATGTCCTTCGCTCCAGTGGAACAATAAAAATTTATTTGCTCTTTTTCCATTTTGTCTATTAGCATGGTAGAGAAAGGGCCTACTTAAACATTCAGAAAGTTTTAGAACGGGTGATATGAAAGCTGAAACTAGATACATGGTAGTGTGGAAATATAAGGGTGTTTTATGGATAGACTGCTGTTATTTGGGAAAATAGGATTTGCGGAGATCCCGGTTATAAACCTGTGGCAAAAGGGTGGATTAAATTCGAAAAATTGTAATTCATGGGTAAAATAGGTATTAAACTGCAGTCGTTTTAATTGAGATATGGTTCTTTTAAAAAGAGCTTTATGAGAACACTTTTTTCTAGACTACTAAATCTTGTTTTGTGTATGTTTTATGTGAACTCTTGTTTTCCAACCAAATGATTAAATTTTGTTTTGAAAGATGTTTCCAGGAAATGGACTGCATTTATTTTTATGTTCTGTATTCCCGTTGTTTGATTTTTAAAACCACAGTTTGTCTTAATTTTAGCTGTCAAAAAATAAATAGCACTTTCAAGTAACTATTGTACTGTGATGTTAGCTGTTTTATAAAGAATAATGGTTTGGTAAGAACAGCATGAAAGTAATTGTAATATTAAATATTTTTATATCTGATTTCCTTGTTTTCTTCTTTAAAGAGCATTATATTCATTCATACTGTTACGTATATTGTGTAAGTTACATAATTGTATAACAGTTTGCTACCGCCTTTAGAAATTTTTGCTAACTTTAACAAAATATTCCTGTAATTTTATAAAACTGTGTATTGAAAAATAAACCAAGCTTTAAGAATTTGCTAGACCAAATGAGTGAGTGGCTGATGTCAGTTCCAAATACGTGTGTTTTTTCTAATTCTTTTCCAGGAATTATCTATAGAGTAAGTATGCTGATATTGAATAAGACAGCAGGAGTTTTTTCTAAACCATCAAAAAGGAAATTGTATGAATATTTAAGAAGTTTTAATTTTCATCCTGGAAAAGTATTTCTTCATAAACTAGTATTGGGAATTGAAACCAGTTGTGATGATACAGCAGCTGCTGTGGTGGATGAAACTGGAAATGTTCTGGGAGAAGCAATACATTCCCAAACTGAAGTTCATTTAAAGTAAGTAGACAGTATCTTGGTAGTTTCCACTTTTTTTTGGAAAAAGTAAAACAAAATAATTCTTTTGTATTTATCATGCATGGAAGTTAAATTTTAGGAGCTAATTTCTTTCTTTGTATGTGCAAAACCTGCTAACTACTGTAAAAAACATTAACCTGGCTTATTTAAGGTTCTCACTTGGTTTTTAAGGCTCTCCAGAATAAGGTCCCAACCTTAACTAACCTGGTCGCCAAAAAGAAACTAAGCTCATTCTCAACTCAAATATTTATCCATGATTTTCCCTCAGTAATGCCTTTTCCTCTTTTGTCCACCTGTGTGTTTCATAATCTCAACTGAAGTCCTAGGAAAGAAAGCCTGACTTGACTTTTAGCCTGTGTTAATCACCGAAAAAAAAAAAAAATCTTATTCACATTATACACATAACTCATGTTGGTACTTCAATAATAATATCCTGTTGTAATAAAGCACAGAATGGTGCAAGGTTTATAAATTCAGATGTTTTCAGAGGATCATCAGGTGGGTTGCATAAGTAAGTGGACTAGATATAAAATGAAAAATACCTGGAGGAGGTCACTAGTCAGCTCTAGCCAATTATTGCTATGCAGGAATATAAGCCCTATATTGTTTGATCATCAGAGTTTTCAAGAGAAGTAGAAACCAGAATATTACTGTAATATCTCCAGATTCTAGCAAATTCAAAATATATTAAAATACTGTACAGATCAAATATGCTTTGAAGTGATCAATTTACAATAACTGACTAGTGAGAAAGGTTGGTATTTTGAGATAACAGACCTGTATTTGAATCATGAATTAGGCACTTGGTATTGGCTTGGTATAGGCAAGTTCCATATCCTCTCTGATTCTGTTTTTACATCCATAAAATGGGAAAGATACCTTTTTTATAGGATTGTGAGCAGTATAATAGAAATAATATAGAATGTTATAATATATGCAGAGAGGCAGAGTAGGCCTCCAAGGGTTACATCCTATGTGAAAGGGACTGTGGTGGATGTCAGTGAAGCACAGTGAAGTATTAAAAAGTATTTGCCTTCAAGAAGCTTAATCTAATTTCTGAAACATGATATATAGTTGACCCTTGAACAACACGAGTATGAACTATGCAGGTCCACTTATGGGTGGATTTTTTTCAATATATTGGAAAAATTTTTGGAGATCTGCAATAATTTGAAAAAACTAGCAGATGAACTATGTAGCCTAGAAATATTGAAAAAATTAAGACAAAGATATGTTATGAATGCATAGAATATATGTAGATACTAGTCTATTTTATCATTTACTACCATAAAATATACACAAATCTATTATAAAAAGTTTAACTTTATCAGAATTTATATACTTAAGACTATACATGGCACCTCTTGCAGTCAAGAGAAATGTAAACCAATATAAAATGCAATATTAAGTCATAACTGCATAAAATTAACTGCTGTACATACTGCACTACTATAATAATTTCGTAGCTGCCTCCTGTTGCTACTGTGGTGAGGCTAAGTGTTGGGGGTATCTATTTAAAATGCCTTATGATGCTAATCACCTCCATATAAGCAGTTCATCTCTCCAGTAAATTGTGTATCACAGTAAAAAGTCATCTCTTGTAGTTCTTGTGTATTTTTCATCATGTTTAGTGCAATGCCATAAACCCAAAAACCTTGGATAACACCATGAGATCCATACGAAGTGTTACCAGTGATGCTGAAAGTGCTCCCAAGAAGCAGAGAAAAGTCATGACATTACAAGAAAAACTGAATTGCTTGATATGTATCTAGATATGCCCACTATTTCACAGTAAATGAATCCAGTGTAAGGACCATTATAAAAAAAGAAAAGGGAATTCATGAGCTTTGCTGCAGCTACACCAGCAGGCATGAAAACCTTGCACTTTTTAAGAAATACCTTTTTATCTCATTTTGAAAATACAGCTTTTGTATAGGTGCAGGGTTGCTATAAGAAAGGTATACCTAGAGACTAATGTGATTTGAGAAAAAGCAAAGCCATTATATGACAACTTAAAAGAAAAAGGAAGGTGAAGGATCTAAAGCCAACAAAGGATAGTTTGATAATATTAGAACAGGGTTGGCTTTAAAAATGTCAAGATAGCAGAGGAAGCAGCAGATATGTTCCCAGTTATTAAGAAAATCACTGAAGAGAAAGGATATCTGCCTGAACAGGTTTTTAATGCAGACAAAAGTGTCCTAATGTGGGGGTTGGGGGTGGGGGAAATGCCACGAACGAATGCCACGAACAACATTTATTAGTAAGGAAGAGAAGCAAGCACCAGGATTTAGGGCAGGAAGGGATAGACTGACTCTATTTTATGCAAATGATAATGATCAGCACTGCCCTTATCTATACAGCTGCTAATTGAAGAGAAAAGATAAACACTAGCTATCAGTCTTTTGATTGTACCACAGTTAGAAGGCCTGGACATGTAGAACCTTTTTTCTGGATTGGTTCCATCGCCTTTGTCCCTGAAGTCAGAAAGTACCTTCCTAGTATGAGACTGCCTTTTAAAGTTCTTTTGTTATTGGACAATGTCTCTGGCCACCCAAAAACCCATGAGTTCAACAACAATGGCATTGAAGTGGTCTACTTGCCTCCAAAATAACATTTCTAATTCAGCCTCTAAATCAGTGGGTCATCAGGACCTTTAAGGATCATAACACATACCACAGTACTCTATGGAAAGGATGTAACCCGGCTAAAGAGAACATCATGAAAGGATGGCACCACTGAAGGTGCCATTGTTGCTATAGAAAAAGCCATGAAAGTCATCAAGCCCAAAATAATACATTTCTGCTGGAGAAAACTGTCTAGATGTTGTGCATGACTGCACAGGATTTATAACAGAGCCAATTGAGGAAGTCATGAAAGAGATTGTGGATATGGCAATAAATAATAAATAAATGTTGTGTGTAAGGGGGTGAAGGGTTTCAAAACATGGATCTTGGAGAGTTAAGAGCTAATAGACACCACAGCAGAGGAATTAACAGAAGATGACTTGATGGAGAACCAACCAGTGCCAGACAGTGAGGAAGACATAGAAGCAGCAGGACATAGAAACAGCAGGATGTAGAAGCAGCAGTGCCAGAAAACAAACAGACATACAATCTGATAGAGGGGTTCCGATTATTCAAGACTGCTTTTGATTTCTTTTATGACATGGACCTTTCTATGATATGGGCACTGAAACTAAGGCAAATGGTGGAAGAAGGATTGGTACTGTATGGAAACATCTTTAGAGAAATGAAAAAGCAAAGAAGTCAGACAAATAATGATGTATTTCCATAAAGTTACACTGAGTGTCCCTGCCTCTCCTGCCTCCCCTTCCACCTCTCCTCCCTCTTCTGCCTCTGCCACCCCTGAGTCAGCAAGACTAATCCCTCCTATACCTTCTCCTCAACATTCAATGAAGACAAGCGTGAAGACCTTTACGATGATCCACTTAATGAGTAGTAAATAATCATATGCCGTAAACTCATCTGTTGTGTGTGTGTTTGAGTGTCTTCCTGTGAAAATCTATTAACTATGGCAAGAACTGTATGAGACTTTTCATATGTCATCATCATCATCACCTAAGTATTCACTGTGTAGAACATCATGTACAAGACTTGTATTGAAGTGGATAGCCTTTCCTTACATAGGCATAAGGTGAGTGATATTTAATATAAAATTAATAATGTGTTAGTTTTCATACTGTTTTATAACTTTGTTTTCAAAGAATTACATTACTGTACAGTGTATGGCTGAAAGTGCTCCCACCTCTCTCTCTTTCTCTTCCTCTCTCTCTTTCTCTCTCTTCCCCAGTTGAAGAAACTGTGTATCGGCCTAACATCACAGGTAAGTGGTTTTTTTAATGTGATAGTGTTTCTAATACGGTATGATGAATATGACCATAATACTGTATACCAGAAATATTTTATAACAATTCATTTATTATTGTATAGGTTAGGCTACCATGAAGAATCATATTGATTACACTAGACCATAAAGCAATCATATTGCTCTTTTGTTTTCAATGCATGAAATAAATACGGATTTATTTTTCAGGTTATCTTTTCATTTTTGATGTCTAGTGTTAATAATACATATAAATCTACAGTATATTGTATTATATAAGACAATATTGATATAGGTATTGATAGATGATTCATCTTGTAAACAGGTGACAAACTTATGGTATCATTAAATACAGTGCAGTACTACTTTCTCTTCATTATGATTTTCTTAATAACATTTTTTTCTCTAGCATACTTTATTGTAAGAATACAGTATATAAATACGTATACAAAATGTGTGTTAATCAACTGTTTATGTTATCGGTAAGGCTTCTAGTCAAGAGGAGGCTATTAGTAGTTAAGTTTTGGAGGTGTCAAAGTTATACATGGAGTTTTGGCTGTGTGTGTGCGCGGGGGGTTGGCACCCCTAAGCCCCGTGTTGTTTAAGGGTCAACTGTATTAAATACTTATTGAATGCTCCTACTGAAGATTTTCATTTCTGTGTATAGAACTAGCATATCTTATAATATCAGTACTTGAAGTTTTTTTTTTTTTTTTGAGGTTAGAGGTGCATCTTGCAGACCCTATATTTTATTGCTCTGCTTTTTTTTTTATTGTAAATCAGTCACATGCTGGCAAATTTTTTGCTAGTAACTTTGCCTCCTAATTCTTTACTTTTGACATTCAGAGTGATCATCCTCTACTTGTCCTACGTGGAACAAAAAACAAAATTACCAACTCAGAGCACTGGATTCCCAAACTTTATTTCAGGATTGCAAGCTGTCTACTGTCCTGCTGTGACCTCAAGTGCAGAGTATTTAAAAATAAACTCATCTTCACAAAACTGTCTTCATGTTTCTGTTAGTATTTCTTTTCTCCCAGTCATTCCAGTTCAGTATCAGAATCATCTTTGATGCCTTGGTCTCCTTTCCAAGTAGTTATTAAAAATTTTCCAGGATCTCTGTCCCTTTCTTTTCATTCCCATAATCACCCAGTTTAAGATGGAATCATTTACACAAATACTTTTGCAATATCCTCTTTAAAAAAATCTTCCTATCTGCAGAGAGATTAATTTTCTTAAAATCTGGTTTTATCCTCTCCTTTCCTTATTCAAGGTTTCTTCCTTAGGATACTTCTTAAGATTATTTTGGTGACTTCCTTCATCAAACAAATCCATAGGAATTTATTGTGCACAATTTTGAATAGAAATATTACACCCTTAATCACTACATATTGAGTTTGTATAGTAGGCCACATTATAAGACATACATATTTGGAAATACTTGACTTTTTTACTAACAGTTTAGCTATATAATGATTAATTTTAAAGCATGTCTTTAGCTATAAAATTATATAATTTTCTTTCTCTATTTTTACAATCTTAAAATTATTAAAACCTTTATTTTTTACATTTCTTTCAGAACAGGTGGGATTATTCCTCCAGTAGCTCAACAGCTTCACAGAGAAAATATTCAACGAATAGTACGGGAAGCTCTCTCTCTCAGTAAAGTCTCTCCAAGTGAACTGTCAGCAATTGCAACTACCATTAAACCAGGACTTGCGTTAAGCTTGGGAGTAGGCTTATCATTTAGCCTACAGCTGGTTAACCAGTTTAAAAAGCCCTTCATTCCCATTCATCATATGGAGGCTCATGCACTTACTATTAGATTGACAAATAAAGTAGAATTTCCTTTTTTAGTTCTTTTGATTTCTGGAGGTCATTGTCTATTGGCATTAGTTAGAGGAGTTTCAGATTTTCTGCTTCTTGGAAAGTCTTTGGACATAGCGCCGGGTGACATGCTTGACAAGGTAATTATTTAAGAATTAATTTCTCCATTCTTTTTTGTTAAGGTATCAATTTCATTCAATTAAATAGTAATAAATGCACTACTACCATTCATCTAAATATTACTGAGTGATATATTAGATTGAAAAATGTATGTACAGTAAGACAAAAAGAGTAGTACCTGGTTTATAAAAGATTTTTTCTTACCCATTCCAAATAAAATGATAGGAGGTTTACATCAGCACATAAAGACTCAAATGGTTTGCAGACGCAGTTATGTTTTTAATCAAATAGGGTGATATCTGTGAAAGAGTTTCGTAAAGTATAAAGCACTATAAAAATGTGAAATAAGAGGATATATAAAGGTAACAAGGATAGTAAAGATGTCACAATTGCTAACACCACCAACATGCAGATTTCTTTTTCCCTTGTTCTAGAGTCCTAAGAGCCCACTGCCATATACAAAAATCCTGCTGCTAACAGCTGAAATGATTGAAAGAAATAGAGCAGTTTCTTATGTTTGAAATTCATCATTAAGCAATCGTTCATTGTTAATTTCAAACCTATTTTCCATTCCCGATAGAAGAGCAAAAGTACATAGGGAGGCAGTGATTGGACACTATTGATCAGATTGTCAGAAAGAGCAAGATTGTCTTTATTAACCACCAGCTATAGTCCATATTTGTAAAAGTATAGCATGTCTTATTTATCCAGGTTTTTGTTTGTTTTTTAGTAAAATTCATTTCCTTTGTATCTTGGTTTCAGAATGTGCAATTTTATGACTATTACACAAATTTTTGTTTTTGATAGGTAGCAAGAAGACTGTCCTTAATAAAACATCCAGAGTGTTCTACCATGAGTGGTGGGAAGGCTATAGAGCATTTGGCTAAACAAGGAAATAAATTGCATTTTGATTTCAAACCTCCCATGCAACGTGCTAAAAATTGTGATTTTTCTTTTTCTGGACTTCAACACGTTATTGATAAGACAATAATGCAAAAGGAAATAGAGGAAGGTATATTTCTAATTAGTAAAGTTGGACAAATAAATAATCTTGGATTGTGCCTAAAAATACATGCTCATTTCTGCAGGTATTGAGAAGGGACAAATCCTGTCTTCAGCTGCCGACATTGCTGCTGCAGTACAACACACAATAGCATGCCACATTGCAAAAAGAACACATCGTGCTATTCTGTTCTGCAAGCAAAGAAACTTATTATCTCAAAGTAATGCAGTACTGGTAAGTTTTCTCATCTCATCTTGGAATAGTAGTAACACTTTATAGTATGTTAGTTCCAAGACCTTACTTGATCCTACGCATAGGGTAAAAAAGGTCTTTATACCCTATTCCAGCCCTGACAGTATGAAATATGCAGAATAAAAACTAACAGCCATTTCTTGTACAAGTATGGCAGCTTAATGGAACATCTGTGTGGCAAAAAAGTCTAAGGCTGCATCTTCTCATTGAATTTAAAAGAGGGTTTACAATAAGAAATGAAATGCAGTTAACTGGTATTATTTTTAGAAAAACACTGATTTCCTTCAGATTTATATTCCTTTGATGAAATCCCTTTAATGTGTTTAAAAGTCTTGTAAACTTCTAATTTAACTTAATTCTTTTGAAAATTATAAAGTGAGAAAATATTTAAATGATGGTAGAGTCAGAAAATGGAATATTAAATGAATATCAAAGATAATAGTTTTTTAAGAATTATGTAGTTTTTTTAGGAAAAAATGCTTATAAGTGAAAACATCAGTCTAAAATATGCTATATTTGTCATTTTTAAAAAGTTAGAAAATATACAAAATAATAGTACTAATTATATATACTGATATTGAAATTCTTTATTTTTTTTTCTTCTGCAGTTTTTTTATCATGTAGGTATGTCACTTGCCCATTATCCATTTATCAAAATGTGATATTTTCTTATTGTATAATGCTGCCGTTTTCCCCAAGTTTAACTAACAGCTTGGCTCATAATCCATATGTGATATTTGTTAATTCTGGTCTCAATTCCTTCAGGTTGTATCCGGAGGAGTTGCAAGTAACTTATATATCCGAAAAGCTCTGGAAATTATAACAGATGCAACACAATGCACTTTGTTGTGTCCTCCTCCTAGACTGTGCACTGACAACGGCATTATGGTTGCATGGTAAGCCATGGGATGTATGTGCTTTGTTTATAATTATGTAAATATTAATTGCCATTTCATCATACTAAATCTTTAAATCTTAGGCTACTTATTTTATTTTAATGATTCTTATTTAGGAATGGTGTTGAAAGATTGCATGCTGGCTTGGGCATTTTATACGACACAGAAGGCATCCGCTATGAACCAAAGTACGTAGTACCATTCATAATCTGTATGCAAGTTGCATTATAGAAGTCAAAGCCTGGATTTTGCTTTTATATATGAGGTTTTCATTGACATTCTGGTGGTACTTGAAGAAAGGTTACATTTTCTTTCATGAACCTAGGAGGCAGATCGCTTATAAGAAATATTTTTGCTACAGTATTAAAATCTTTTTTGCTACAGTACCAAAAATTTGACAAATCATAGATTAGAAACAGATAGTGGGTAAGGGTGATAAATTCCTTCATTGGGGCCAGAATGGAAACTATGTCCATGGCCTAGACTTTTTGTAGTGTCAAGACCATCTCAGGACCAACTAGTATGCTTAAGGAAAATGTGCAAAAAGCATTCAGGTGTGAGACGGGTTTGTGAATATATTTTACATGCAGCTGAAAAATGACCAAAGGATAGCTGTTTTCTGTAAACCTGTTTTATCTCCCAAATCAAAGTTCCAAAGAATAGCTCAATTTTTCAGTTTGTTATCAAGTTCTGGTCTAAGTTAATTCTGGAATAGTATAAATAGTCAAGGATGATTATGTTTCATAATCTAACATAATTCTATTTTCAACATTGTTTCATCTGATGTTTTAAAACTTTTCAGCATTGTAGTCCATAACTGTAGCTACATGAACTATAGACCCTTATGGCTGATTATAAATGAACAGAGTTTAGTTAGTAGTGACAGAAAAAAACCCCTATGTTGATGGCCTAGCCTTTGGTAGAATATATTGTCTGATCCAGTGGTGACACTTTCTTTTGGCAGTGTTGAGGCTGGCGATGGTGGCTTTTCCAGGTTAGGGTATAATTGAAGCATTATACTGGGCAACATAGCAAAAAGCAGAAATCTTAGGCCAAAATTATTTACTGAAGAACAAAGAAAGAAGGTAGAATCTAAGACCTCTTCTGCCAGTAGTGACAAAGGAATATAGCAAAGGAACAAACCAGATTCTGAAACCTCAGAGAAGAATCAATAGAAACCTGAGGAATTTCTAAAGTAGGAATGGATGCAGGTTTGACTTTAGCTATATGGTAAACTATTTTCACCCTTTTAGCTTTGTAGAGAATTAAAAGGTATTTTTTGTTATTTTTCTATTTCATTTTAAGTTTTTATTTATTTATAGTATTTGAGAGTAGGATTATTTCTTTTAAAACATTTGAATCTCCAAAGTCATTGAATTGTATATATTAAATATGTATAGCGTTTTACATGTCAAATATACCTCAAAGTGGTTTTAAAAAAACCTCCAAGTTTAGATTTCTTATTATTGGAACTGGCATTTCTTCACCCATTATTCTCATTTGAGGTCCTACTGTATTTGTATGTATTCAAGAACTATCTCTACATATATTTAATACATTAGATACATAAATTGTTAGAGTTCTAAACAAATGGTCTGCAAATATTTGAAATAATGGGATTCGTTTGATTATGATGCAGATGCCCTCTTGGAGTAGATATATCAAAAGAAGTTGGAGAAGCTGCCATAAGAGTACCACGATTAAAAATGAAGATTTGATTTTTGTTTTTCAAAAAATCCCTAAAGGTAGTATTTCAACATTCAATTTTGATTTTTTGTATATCAAATTGTAGGGGATACACACTATTAATTGTTCATCAAAGCTTTCTTTTGTTATTCCTTCTCTTATGATTGATGTTTAATCTTCTCTTCTGAAAGACTGTAATACAATATTATAGTATTATAAGTTTTTTTTAATCAAAAAAAAAAAGTAAAACATCTAATGGGGTAAAGAATATACTGATACTGGGAGGTAGAAAAATAAACCTGCAGAAAGAAATAGAGCAATTCTGCTAAATCCTGGTCCTGTATTATACAGGCCTTGATCTTTTCCCCCTTTCTCATATCAGGGTAGTAGAAGCTTTTCTTTTCTTTTCTTTTCTTTTTTTCTTTTTTTGCTTTTGCTGAAACATTAGCCTGACTTTTCTAATGAAAGGACAATTTTATAAAGGGAACCAGGTAAAAGTCATGTCAAATCATAGAATTCTAAGTCAAGACAAGACAAAGGGTGACTTTCTCTAACATAATGTATATTATTAATTATAAAAATATATAGGTATCTTCTCTGGAGCAAATGGAATATACATACATTTCTTAAAACCCATCTGAGATTTTAAGAAGTATGACATACAGGTAATCTCTCATTGTGTATTGTACTTTTTAGTTGACCACATATATTTACATCTATTATTTTAGAAATTATATTTAAAGATTACAGTATATGAAATGAAAAGGCTTTTGTTTTGGTTTTGGATAATTTCCTTGGTATCTGAAACTTTGTACTGCAGATTTTATAATAGTTTTTTTTTTCTGCCTAGATTAAAGTAACTGAATGTAAAGACAATGCTACGGACTATTTATGTCCTTTGAGAGATTTGAACAATAGAGATTTATATTTTATGTCATCCATCCAGGAGCAAGTTGTTAACTTTTTAGTCAGTGACTTATTTTATTGAGAAACTAGGAGGTAAAGATAAAAATCTAGAACGAAAAGATTTCTTATTTTAATCTTGCTTTAAGGTAACCTCCCTTTTGGGGAGATCATAGAGTATTGCTTTAAGATCATCCATTTTTAACCTCAAATAGAAATATAATTTATACGAACATATAGGAACAGCCAATATTTATAAAGCTTTGCGTTCTTTAATATTGAGGAATAAGTATGAGGGAACTGGTTCGTAAATATAATTTAAAAGAAACAATAAGTTTGTGAATTCACATTTTACATTTGGATTTGTGTTCTGTATTATGTGGATCTGAATTTAAAGAGAAGAAGTGCAATTATTTCCTGTGACTATTACAATCAGAGTACATATAAACTATGGGGAAAAAAATCGACCAAAATTTCTTCCCACTATATCAAATATTATAAAATAGGGATATTTATAATCTAATTCTTAAAATTTCTAAGTATCAAAATTGTTCCAGGAACTATAAGCACACATGACAAAATTGAGTTCATGATATAAATAAGGGAAACTACAGATAGGAAGGAAGGAAGGAGGGAGGGAAGGAGGGAGGAAGGGAAAGAAGAGAAAGATGGAAAGGAAAAGAAAGAAAAGGAAGGAGATATACTGGTAAGCATGTGTGCCAAAGTTAGCTTACAGTACAGGTAAGAGGCAAGTAATTTGCTGAAACTTTTTATATATTGAGGTCTTTCTTATCTTATACATGATTTTAAAAAATAAGAAAATGTGAGGTAATAAAAATAATCCTTATGGGGGCAGTGCTGTGCTTTAGGAGAACTACTATAAGTATTAGGAGTAGTAGGATAGGAGTAGTAGGATAGATAGGACAAGATACTCAGGAAATGCCTGCTATTGAATGCAAAAACACCCTGATCCTCAACCTTGAAAATACTCAAAATACAGTCTTTAGCCCACCCGAAGCTAGTTGCAAAGCTCAGTTTACTGTCTAAAGGCTTTATTTTAAGGGTACAGAGGCTTAACATTTCCATTAATGTGAATTCTTATCCCTTAATGGTACTGAATAAATGACACGGTTTTTTTATCATTTGAATTATTTCTCCCTTTCTTATTCTTCCCCTTCCCGCATACAATTCCTATATTTTAGTCCATCCACCAGAAAATCGTGACTCTGAGCAATTAAGAGAATTTAGAATTCAGTCTGAAAATTAAGGAGATCTCTATTGTACAGTGGTTAAGAGAACAGGGTTTGGACTCTGGCATATAGAAAGTCCTAAGTACATGTAGCTACCATCATCACAATCTTTATTGTTGTGTTAAGGCATGTTGGGGTAAATGACTGCTAATTAATATATATGTTCAGTGCAGCCCAGGTAGACCATATGAAGACACTGAGCAAAGTGGATAGAGAAAAAGTGGGGCGGAGCTTTAAAGGACATAGTGAAGCCTAGCTTGCTTTTGTATCAAATCTATCTGTTGCTGTAAAATAGGAAAAGCAGACATACACCAAGACCAACCTACTGGAAACAGTACTCATGTGATTCT